CTTTGAAGCAGTGTCTTTCAGGTTCATCTCTAGATCAGTGAATAAAGCCGTCTCTTGTGGGTAAACGAAAGAGAGAAATCCTGGGATTTCTGAATGATAGGATTTTGACAAAGGAACGAAGCTGGAATGCCAAGTTCCTCTCACGTGCTGGGCATGAGGTGCTGTTGAAGAATGTGATACAAGCCATGCCCTCCTATGCGATGATGGTCTTCTTATTGCCTTTAGGCCTATGCAAGGAGATTGAAACCGTAATGAATGAGTACTGGTGGACTGGTACAATAGGTTCGGGTAAGGGGTTGAGATGGAGGTCTTGGGGTGGCTTGGCGGTCCCAAAATCAGTAGGCGGTATGGGGTTCAGGAAGCTCGGAAAAATGAACTTGGCGCTACTTGGTAAACAGGCTTGGCGATTAATCACCAAGCCAGCATCTTTAGTTGCAAGGGTGTACAAGGCAAGGTACTATGCTAATGACTCTTGTTTTGATGCAGTAGAAGGGGGTAACCCTTCTTTTATTTGGAAAGGCTTACTTGAGGTGCAGAATATCTTACGGCTTGGGTGCAGGCGGTGTATTGGGAACGGCCTCGACACGAGGATGTTGGAGTTTGGTACCGGAAAATGTCGCAGTAGCACCGCTTTTTATATCGGCTAATTTGGGAAAAAGTAAGGGAATCATGTGTCGTGTGAATACACCACCTTAAAAGAAAATTGTCGGGATAAAAGAAAATTGTCGGGATAACCGGGTGCTTTCGACTGGTTGCACACAGACTTTTTACGAGATACCGGCACAGGTATTCGCAGTCACAGTAGGACCCGACTTAGAGCTCAGACAGGAGGTTCAGAGAGAATAGAAGAAGAGAAGAATGAATTGTTGTGTGTTTTAATGAATAAGGGAAGTGCCCCTTATATACTAACATAGGCTTCTCTTCTCAACCATCCAAATCCAAAACCAGTGCTGGACCACTCATTCTAATCAAATGAGATTCACTCATTTGAGTGAAAAACTAGCAACCACAAAAATAATTAGGCAAAGCAGTTTTGGACCAACATTCTAATCAAATGAGATTCACTCATTTGAGTGAAAAACTAGCAACCACAAAAATAATTAGGCAAAGTAATTTCTATTGCAAGGCTTTGATTAACAACATATGAAAGTCAACCTCATTTCAGGTGAAGATCAAGTGGCGCTCTAACTAGCCTGCATGATCAACACCCTACTTCTTAAAACTTCCAGGTCGAGTGGTGAAACCGAAGTTTCCTTAAAAACCATCTTCCGAGACAGAGTATTCAAGAACAATGACTTTTCCATGCTACCACCATAAATGTGAGTAAAGCCTTTGAAATTAAACTCAGTACACAATTTAAATATTTAAGATTATGTGACTGTAATATAGTATGTATATCATCAAATAGTGCAATGTTTGTAACATATCCACAATAATAACACATATTGTTGTAAATTGACATGCGCATAAGTACACAATTTATAGGCTTTATATCATATTGATGATTTAATCACTTAGCAGTTGTGTTAAATCAACACTTCTAACACAACAAATTCATAAAGCTCATACATGTGAATAATAGCAATTCACTTATATTTGTGTACACCGCTGTTAATTTTCTATATAATATTCAAAGCACTCACCATACAAAATATGGAATGGTGATTTCTAAAATGTTTTTCACAATATATATTTCACGTTTCACAAGCTCTCAAAAGATAATAATCAATCGGATGCAAAGATATAGGCAAACCACCTTCTAAATTATGTCATTATGATAGTTTTAAGGGAACATGGTCAATGCCCATGATATATGACTACTAATGCTCAATATAATCATTAACATATGATAGTCTATTATCATATAAGTATACATGAATGATGACTCTTCAAGTCCATGCTTCAAACAAGTTGCATTAAAGCCTTTAATATATGCTTATTATATCTTTATACAAATAATTTTAGTACATGATTCAAATCTTTTAAAAATCATGTGACAATGATATATAATTATATATGCATCTCATATTCAATTTGAAGGAACAAATAGCCCACACTAATAAATTAATCATGCATCACTTAAATTTATGTTCCTCAGTTATCTAACATATAATCACTTTTGATCTCATTTTGTGAAGAACATCATATATAACATTTTCGTACAACTCTAAATCCGAGAAACACATGCCTACACATAGAAATAACAATATGCATGAATATTGATCATCAAGATTAACCATTTATATCTTGGATGTTAAGAGTGAGAGGACATATTTAAGTAATATAATGATCTTGCTATTTCAATTCTTCAAGTTCAATATGATATGAAAGATAATTATGTGATATGCCATCATCATAACTATAACTGCTTGCACTTTAAAAATTCAAGACCACAAAGGAGATGCATGTGATATAAAAAGCACGAAGCTAAGTCATTATATATTTAAAACCAGGGCCTTACATGTATTAATGTAGCTAATCTTTTAACCATGCAAATCTCATTTTAGTGATAGTGTATGCATTCATGTGCATAATGCATATCATATAATGCATATATATAAGTTCATAGTATGAAGGTTGCATGACTTTTAAAAGTCGTATAAAATGCATAGATGCACTGCTATACTCATTAAAATAATAAGCGCACACATTAATGATATTAAAGCATTATATGATACTTAGCTTAATTGGGGAGGAAGAATGCATTAGACCCACAATTCAATTCTGCTACCATATATTAAGATCAACTTACAACAACTTCAAATGGTCAAAATCCCAAGCAGTAGTAGGAGCATTCTGACTCACCAGCAGCAATCACGAAGCGTAGTTGCAAATTCGGCTATGGTAAGATTTATGTAGTTGGGCCCGTCAAGTGATTAGAGCTTTACAAGATCAAAAGTTATTTTGGACGACATTTTCAGAACAATTTGCTTTTAACTGTTAGAGTTTGGTATCGGAAAATGTCGCAGTAGCACTGCTTTTTATATCGGCTAATTTGGGAAAAAGTAAGGGAATCATGTGTCGTGTGAATACACTACCTTAAAAGCAAATTGCCGGGATAACCGGGTGCTTTCGACTGGTTGCACACAGACTTTCTACGAGATACCGGCACAGGTATTCGCAGTCACAGTAGGACCCGACTTAGAGCTCAGACAGGAGGTTCACAGAGAATAGAAGAAGAGAATAATGAATTGTTGTGTGTTTTAATGAATAAGGGAAGTACCCCTTATATACTAACATATGCTTCTCTTCTCAACCATCCAAATCCAAAACCAGTGCTGGACCACTCATTCTAATCAAATGAGATTCACTCATTTGAGTGAAAAACTAGCAACCACAAAAATAATTAGGCAAAGTAGTTTTGGACCAACTCATGAATCAATTTTTGAATGTTATTCCCAACAGAGGATAGGAAGGGATGTCTAGCTGCCTGTGGAAGATGACCGCTATCTCGAAACAGTCACGGCGGATATCAACTATGATGCCCCGGTTGCTTCTCTCTTTAATGATCAAGGTATGGGTTGGGATGTGAGTCGTATTATGAACCAATTTAATGCTCGTGATGCAAATTTGATCCTGAATGTCCCCTTTAAGCATACGAAAACCACAGGATTCGTGGTTCTGGTACTGGGATCATAAAGGGGACTATACGATTAAGTCCTGTTATAAGCAACTAATCGGCTCTGTTCAAGACAACCGGCCATGGACTAGTCTGTGGAGTATTGATGTACCCCCAAAAGTGAAGCTCTTTTGTTGGCAGTTGGCCTCTTCATTTTTGCCAACGCGAGATGCAATGACTAAGAAACATATTCCATGCTCATTATTGTGTCATATGTGCAGGAGGGAGAACGAAACAGCTTAGCACATCTTTGTCCAATGTACGGAGGCAACCAAAGTATGGAATTTGTTGGGTATGCCAGCTGCTACGTCTGGGTATGGTATAAGTGTCATTGATTGGTTTTTTTATTATGTTCAGATATTAAGGGGTGATTTACTTACTAAATTCATCATGGTTTGTTGGGGTATTTGGACTTCTAAGAATGAATCTGTTTGGAAGGGAGTTTGTTTTGACATGCATGTGATGATGCATAGGGCTATTGGCTACTGGGAGCACTGGAAACAAACGAATAACACACCCCTTGTGCATAGTTCGAATGCTGATGATGCTCACTGGGAGAAGCCACACCGTGGACACATAAAATTAAATGTGGATGCTTCTATTAGCTCGATTCATGTTGCAATGGGATTAGGTTGGGTACTACGGGATGATGACGGACGGTTCTTGGCAGCGAGGAGTATGTCTGTGCGTAGTTTGTTTGAGGTCAGGGAAGCTGAAGCTACATGTTTGAGAGAGGCATAGTTTGTTTGAGAGAGGCACAGTTTGTTTGAGGTCAGGGAAGCTGAAGCTACATGTTTGAGAGAGGCATTAAGCTGGCTCAAGGATACTGGAATGGGCAGTGTTGATATCGAGATGGATTCTCAAGTTGTTTTTAATGCTATTACACACTCTTCTTTTAATTCTACTTTCGGTTTATTAGTTGATGATGTTAAAGAATTGGTATCTTTGATTGACGATGTCCAATTCTGTTACGTAAAGCGATCTGCGAATTGTGTCGCACACACTGTTGCTAGGGAGGCCTTTTATGAAACAGGTTGCGAGGAGTGGCTTGATGTCCCAACCCCTTTTCTTGTGAATGTTCTTGCTCATGATTTAATGCATTAAGTTTTGACCTTCAAAAATTATAACGGATCAATGCACTTTGTATTAAAAATATCAAAATATCCTTCAATTTAACGAAATTTTAACGATTTTTTTTATAAAGAACCAAAATTGGTCATGTCACAATAATACTAGGACCAAAAGAAATATTTTGATAAAAAAGAACTACAAATGGACTGTCACGAACCAAAAATGGAATTAACTCTACTTTAAAATTTCATTTATATGTCTTTACTCACAATCTACCGTTTAAGAATCAACTAGGTTATTGGTGCGAGTTTCAATTAAGATTCTTACAGAATAATTTTGGCAGTGTCAGCTTTTGAATGTGTTACCGGCCGTTCTCTTCCGGCCACCCATCTGGAAAAGAATCAGATTCGAGTTTTTGCATTTCAGAATTGCGGTGCCGCGCGTCTAATGGTTTCAGCTGACACGATTACATACTCTGCTTTGTCTTCATCTTCTCTTTGCTGTCATGGCTTTAGTTTTGGTGTCCTCTGTGTGCCCATATCGCCGATGATCTCTTCTCGCCACCCGGAAGTCCCGATAACCTCGCTTTCTCCGCCCTTAAACCGCAAACATGGTCGGAGAAACGAAGGAGCCGTCTTCGCCCGGCGCCGCTCGCCGCTCGTGCCTCGTCGTCGGGAATTGCTGCCATGATGTTCTGATCAAAGACGGCGGCGTCATTGCCGAGTCCCTCGGCGGCGCCGCCTCCTTCATCTCCGCCGTGCTCGAAGGCTTCAACGTCGCGTGCCACTACGTGTCTAAGGTGGGCCCTGATTTCGCTTACTCCGTTAGCCACCGCCCGATTGTTTGCCCTTCCTCGCAAACCACCCTCTTCCACGCCTATTTCTCGTCTGAAATCAAGCGCCGGGATCGGGTTCTCAAGCGGATCCGGGCGTGCGAATCGATCGCCGCGTCGGATCTCCCCGACTCGGAATTCGATTTCGGGTTGGCCGTCGGCGTAGGCGGGGAGATTCTGCCGGAAACGCTCGAGAAAATGATCGGTATCTGCAAGACGGTGTTCGTCGACATCCAAGCCCTAATTCGGATCTTCGATCCGACGGACGGAACTGTGGATCACGTCGATCTGAAGCAAACCGGATTCTTCCATTTACTACCTAGAATAGGGTTTTTGAAGGCGTCGTCGGACGAGGCGCCGTATGTGGACGTAGAGGAGGCGAGAAAACGGTGTCGTATATTGGTGACCAACGGAAACGAGGGCTGCACGGTGGTTACCGAAAACACAGAGCTAAAGATCGCACCTTTTCCAACGATTCAAGTGGATCCGACCGGAGCCGGGGACAGCTTTCTGGCCGGATTAGTAGCCGGAATTGCTCATGGATTAACCCTGCCTGATTCTGCATTGCTGGGGAACTTCTTCGGATCGCTGACAGTCAGGCAAATGGGGCATTCCAAATTTGATTCTCAGCTTTTACAGGTTGGTATGAATGCTGCTTGTCTCTGATTCTGCTGCTTAGAATTCCATGAACATGAAAAACAATTCTCCAGTGCTAATTATACTCTTTTAAGTACCTTTAAATTGTGTGTTTTAGTCGAGGAGATAGCAGTTTTCTTGACCTGTATTGTTCATTGTTAGAGAATGGAAAGGATTTAGGAAGCATAAGAATTTCTTGCAGGAATTGCAATAAACTGGATACATTAGCATGCTCTGAACTATTCGGGGTTAATTGTTTTATTGTTCTGTATCTGAATATGTCAATTGCACTTGATGAAAAGTATTGATGCGGGCAATTAGTATGATCTGTGATTTCTCTGCCTTGTTGCTCTACACATTTATAGCTTTCCGATATTAGTTTGTTTGGAAAGTGGATGTTCTTCTACTCCATATATGATCGTTAGAACTTAGAAGTGTGTAAGTTGTAAGGCTATGTTAAAGATGCCACTTTGGCACTTTGCTTGACTCCCGATAGAAACCAGACTGTGTATTACACACTCCATCTTCCAATATGGAGACGAGTCTTGAGGCGGTTGTATATCATGATTCTCGGGTTCCTGTCATATCTCGCCTTAGAAATGCTCTAATGCTCTACCGGTAGTTGTCATGTGGAGACTTCTTTGATTAACCAAGGAAGAGAGCTATCATATTGCCTTTACTTTTCACATATTTTCCTCTTATTCCCAGGGGAGAAAGATTGATTCCTCACTGATGAAATGATGATATTTCTTTTGTTCCGTGTGGGCAGTAATGAAAGATATTTGGCGTTTCCCCTTGTTGAGCCTGTAATATATAAAATGTAAATGTGCAGTATCACTATAGAGTGGTGGTTTTTGCTGATTCTATTAAAGCTTTCTTGCATACCATTTTTTGCTCTCACGGATTGAATTTTCTTCACAGAGAGTGAAGGCAGAAGTGGAGAGGAGGAGGGTGCACCATTTCGGCAGCCATGAAAAGCGGGATGATGATGGTGACAGCCATGAAAGGCGGGATGATGATGATGACGACAATGACGATGATGATTTTTTTAAAGGTCTTGATGCAGTGAGAACAGTAATGGCTCCATACTGTCTCCAGGAATGGCCAAACTCTCCCAGATCAAAGTGCAGTGATCAGGAGAGATTACTGCTTCATTCTGTCTGTGAAGAACCCCCCATTAATTCGGTTCAAAATAAACAGTGATTTTAGGAGTTTTTTTTCCCACACCCATGAAATGTCATTCGAATAAATAGAGATTTAGACTTTGGCCCGGTTTGGTAAAATAATTAGCTTATAAGTCAATTTTGGTTTATTTGACCACTATTAGCTGTTTAACTTGGTTAAACAATTAATATGAGTGTTTGATTAATTAGCTTTTTGTAACAACTTATTACTCCAAAATATTAAAATTTAAAAAGCTGTTCAAAGTAGCTTTTTCGATCAGTTTTTTGAGAAAGTCATTTGTATGTAATCAGCTAACAGTTAATTTACCAAACACTTTTTCTATAATTAGCTAATGCTATCAACTAATCAAATTTACTAACTCAATTAGTTAACAGCTAACAATCATTTACCAAATATCCATTTATGCTCTCTTCTTATATATATATATATATATATATATATATATATATATATATATATATATATATATATAGAGGCGGGTTCAGGTGCGGCAGTGTCTTACGGTGCGGTTATTTCTTACGGTGCGGCAACACCAATAGTTCACCAAATATGCACCATCAACGTTAGGAAATACACCACACAAAACAGAGTAAACAGAGCCCTGCATCACCAAACACACACCATTAGGTGTGAGTAAAAACACCATACACTGTTCGGAAATACACCGTTGGGGGTGGTGAGTTATATGGTGTATTTTTTTGAGTCTGTGGTGTATTTTGTGATGTTTTATTACATTTCATTGGGGTGTGTTTTTATTACACTGTTGGTGCATATTGTTAACACTGTTGGTGTATTCTGGAATTTGACCGCACCGCCGCACCGTAAGACCCCGCCGCATATGAGCGCTCTTCTATATATATATATATATATATATATATATATATATATATATATATATATATTCACCTCCATAATTTCCAAAATTGTTGTTTAAGTTTCCATCTTAGCCTGCACAATTTTGTTTGGATATTTACGTTACATTGTATTGACTATTCATACAAGCTCTATATTTATATCAATTGTTCCTTCTGTTGAGCATATATAATATAGGGTGAATCAACGATTTGGTCCCTCACTTATTCGCGATTTGTTAATGTTGCCCCTGAATCACGTATTCATCAATTTAGTCCCCGAAAATAATTGTTTTTCGTCAAATAAGTCCCTCAAGCCGTTTTCCGTCATGTCTCCGGCTAGACTTCCGATTTGCCCTGGGCATTTTCGTCATTTCCATTCGCTTAGTATATTCATCTCTTCTTATATCCGAAACAGAGTTGAATATGCAAGAAGTAAACCATCCATCCATCAGTAGCCCTAGTTGCGAGAGGTTTCGAAAAATTTGAAGACTCCAACCAAGAAAGAAGAAGGATAATGTCTTGCAAGAGCAGTTCGTCATCGGAATTCATGGCCGAGGTGCGATGTAGGTGCGGATATGTGGCTCCAATGAAGATGTCATGGAGTTATGCTAACCCAGGGAAGAGATATAGGGCATGTCCAAGATACGGGGTAAGTGTAAAATTTGGCAAGTTATTAGGTTAAGTGTAAAATTTGGCAAGTTATCAAAATTGAATTAAATAACAATGTTTAACCTAATAACTTGTCAAATTTTACACTTACCCCGTATCTTGGACATGCCCTATATCTCTTCCCTGGGTTAGCATAACTCCATGACATCTTCATTGGAGCCACATATCCGCACCTACATCGCACCTCGGCCATGAATTCCGATGACGAACTGCTCTTGCAAGACATTATCCTTCTTCTTTCTTGGTTGGAGTCTTCAAATTTTTCGAAACCTCTCGCAACTAGGGCTACTGATGGATGGATGGTTTACTTCTTGCATATTCAACTCTGTTTCGGATATAAGAAGAGATGAATATACTAAGCGAATGGAAATGACGAAAATGCCCAGGGCAAATCGGAGGTCTAGCCGGAGACATGACGGAAAACGGCTTGAGGGACTTATTTGACGAAAAACAATTATTTTCGGGGACTAAATTGATGAATACGTGATTCAGGGGCAACATTGACAAGTCGCGAATAAGTGACGGACCAAATCGTTGATTCACCCTATAATATATAAACATGAATATACAATTTAACTAGAGTAAATACCCAAAATGGTCCCTCGACTATAGTTAAATTCACAAATTAATCCTCGACTTTTAATTTTAACCAATTAAGTCTTTAACTTTGCAATTTTGACACGATTTGATCCTCCATCTCTTTGACCGTTTGTTGACTGTGCTTTTTGAGGATGTATATGTAATTCCATGGTCCATCGTCGGTTTTTTAAGGTTCCGGTTACATTTCCAGACCGCACTATTACATTTGAATCCACTGCCGAAAGCAATCTATCAAATCCGGTCGTCTTTCTTCATCCTCCCTTTGGATTCAATGTAGTTGAGTTCGTACAAGAGCGAAGAAGACGGCGTGTTTCCGAACCAGTGCAACGTCATCTTGGAGGCCTCCACGTGCTCTGACGAGAGCTGAAGGTTCTTCTGGAGATCGTCGATCACGGTCAACAAACGGTCAAATAGATGAAGGACCAAATCGTGTCAAAATTGCAAAGTTAAGGACTTAATTGGTTGAAATTGAAAGTCGATGACCAATTTGTGAATTTAGCTATAGTCGAGGGACCATTTTGGGTATTTACTCATTTAACTATTAACTTATGTTGTAGTTGAAATGGAACATATGTTTTAATTTAGTATCAAGAGCCAACCTCATGCGTGAATCACCAAAGATTTTGTACAAGATTAAATTAATTTAGTCAAATTTCAGTTGAATCCCGAACCATATCAGATTATAAAAGATTTTTCATTCCTACTCTAAAAGGACTGGGAAAGCTTTATGCAAATCCCATCACCATCCCAAATCAACTGCATTATTATTCCCTTTTTCAAGCCATAATTGTCAATTGTCAATAGAATAATAATTGACAGTGAAAGTATGTTTATTCAAAGGTTTCTGCTAATTTTGTTCAGATAATATTTTACATCATATATTATTTACTAGTATGTTGTGATGCGCGATGCGCAAAAATTAGGTGCCCAATATTAGTATTTTATATTAAGATTTTTAATATTTAAATTATTATAAATAATAATAATAATAATAATAATAATAGTGTAAATATTTTTATACATTTGATATTTATATTGTAGGAAATAACTCCAAATTATAATGTATAAATATTATTATTATTATTGAATAAGATAAGAAAATATATGGTGGATGCATGTGCATGGTAACAATAGTGGAAAAGATAACGGAAGTTATAACGGTAGGGGTATGTTTGTCTAAAATATTGTAAAGTACAACATTTATAGCATAATGTATAAAAAAACTCAACGAAAAAAATGAACATAAATAAAGGGTATAACTTTCATTTACACTTATTATGTTTTTAGATATTACATATGAAACTACCAATATTCAATCATCAAAGGCTATTAGGACAAGTCTACAAAAAATTTTGTGAATTTCATACATAAACAAAAGAAAACAGGTTCATTATCGATTAAATATTAGTGAGAACATAAAGATAAAAGAATTAACGAAGTATCATATGGATTTTCTTGAGTGACCATTTCAATCATAGGTGCATGAAATGCACATAGATACCCGCATGGGCAGCTCAACTAGTCATACAGGTGAAACTTTGGAAAAATGACCAGGGATTGAGTCTCACCAGCGGCAGTGTGAGAGCTACCTCTCAAAGTGAGGGGGGTTCCTTGTGCGCAGTGAGCAAAGATTATGCTCTGTCGGGTCGGAGTGTGAGGAGCCCTTAGGGTTGGGGTTCAACCTTTTGGAATAATGAAATGCACATACTTGGTGGACTAAAGGTGTTCTTGCATTTTTTTTTTCCTTTTTTAGTTTTGAAAAATCCAGTCATTAATAAAAGATCTTTAACTTAACTTTCTCTCTCCTTGAATAAAGTAAAAAATTCAACAAAAATCTCCCACTATTGAGGTTGTGCTTAGGGTTTGAGAAACGATGAAACTGTAATATTTATAGTTGAGCAATTAGATGGTTGAAATGAAAATAAACAACTTATCTGCCATTAAACAATGCTAACGTATCAAAAATATATGCTCAACTCGTCATTGAAAATTTAAACTTACGAAAAAAATTTTAGGAGTCGTTTAATTTAAGGAATGTCTGATTACCTTATGGAATATTAGATAACTGGGAATGCTAGATTCGTGGGTTTGGTAAAAACTGAAATATGCAATATAAATATGTTTGGTTGACGAGTTTTTGTTTATGTTTAATGATTGTTTTACCTTAATACCATCGATATATGTCATGTATTTCAATATATGAAGTCCAAAAGACTTTATTTTAGTTCCTTTGTCCACTGAATTTAGGTTGTCATCTTCTTTGCACAAGCATGATATTTTATTTTCAGAAAAAATTAAGAAAAAAATATAACATAGGTGCTTTTTAAGCACTTTTCGCAAGGTGTACAAAAGGTGCTTAATTGCAACACCTATGTTGACAATAGGAGTAAGATTTAAAGGGCAAAGTAAGTAAAATCAAGCTAAAAATAGTAAAGGAATCACATTTCCTCTAAAACATGAAAAAATCTTACGTGGAAGTTGTGTATTCTTTAAGCTCGCACGTTCGCACCGGACCAAAGAGAGGGTTTAAATTTCCAACATCTTTTAAAAGGATAAGAGTACACGGCCACTCACGCCAACCAAACTAATTAAATATAACAATTGTTATCTTAAATATAACATAAATCAAACGTCCCCTTAATATATTTTAGTATAAACTTTGTTGAATAATCAACATTATAATAGAGTCAGTAGCATTCAAAAAAAAATTATTCTTTCATCTCGAGACGGATTCAAAAAAATCAAATTCTTTTCACCCTATAACTACGTGTCGTGAAGTGTTCCACAACCATATGGACGGTAGCATTTAAAACGAATTTCTTTTCCCAAGTTACCGTTACGTTACCGCCCGCCTCGCCTTACGCCTCATTCAGATTCTCGAATCCAATAAGTTCATTTTAACCGCCGTCCGCCACCGCCCCTCTCCTCCATCCACCGCCGCCAATTCCTCTGAGATTC